GTCTAAGAAAAAAAGGGGGTATTAAAGGACGTATCGAACCAATCAATCACCTACATAGCCACTACCCCAGTGCGTACGGCGCCAATAAAAGACTATAACGCCATTGTTATTAACATCGAACTTAATTCTCCGCTCTGCTGATTTTGTGATAGACACACCTGCTAAAGAGGGTATCCTTGATATTTTTTGTTGCAATTCCTTGCTTTGGAAGTATAATTATAATGCTTCATTTTTATATAACCATAAAAAAGGGACTATGAGTGGACTGAAGCTTCATTTAGGGAACTGTCTGTATTATAATTATATTTCAATCTGTACCAATAACAAAAAAAGAAGAGGGAGGTCTTTATGTCTAGAGGGTATCGGCCGAATTCTGATCTACAAGTTACGTTTTCCGCATATCATGGGACGTTTAATGTTTGTTTGCAAAACTTGCTCAATTGCACTTTTGTCAAAATTTGACTCTTATGGCAACAATTCAGGTCCCCATATTTCCCAACCATAGAAAGCAGAAACAGTTGCTGAACAAGGGCATCGAAAAGTTTATTTCTTAGCCTTTGTATCAGGCGCTCTGAAGTAATGGTACAGGAAAGAACTGGGCACGCGAGAGATACACGCGAGGGGAGAGGGAGCTCCTTTTCCCCTCGTGTGTTTCATTCGCGTGCCCCGTTCTTTCTTGCACCCATTACTTCCAAGCGCCTGCTACGCAGGCTATTTATTTCTTGTTTTGACCGATTCCATGTAATTTTATAGGAAAATTCATTATCTGACGAGGGAATTCCACGTTAAATTGCACGCGAAAACCGATATCGCACGGACCGTGAAGCGATGAGTGCGATGTCGGTTTTCAAGTGCAATTTAACTTTGAATTCAAGAGTCAGGTAATGGATTTTCCTTGAATCGCATAATTGAATAAAAATCAGAAAAAAAAAAAGAAAACAGTAATAATATGGTTTGTTTTTATCCTGAGCGCGCGCTCCAGAAAGCCATTTCAAAGTCAACTGTCAGAACTGTCATTGCGTTAGCGAATAGGAAGCAAGGTCAGTCGTACACGTTTGAACCTTCGACAACTTTTTTTGTACCTTGTGCTTGTTTTTACCTTTGTTTTCAAACTTTTTTACTCGTAAACAAGCTTCACAGTAATCGTAAGGATAAATAGAGGTATTTCACTGAATTTACTAGCCGTTTATCTATAACATCTTTTTTCAAATTGGTCATTTGCTCGAGAAGGAAAATCATTTACACCCTTCTTCGGCGGCAAAACTGAAAGAAATGAAGTGTCCAAGCAAAAGCACTGAAAGTTTATCGTCGAGATTGATATAAGGTAAGTACCTTGAAATGTTTTAGAAAAGCTGTTCAAGTTCAGCTCTGTTTTATACTTTTCTAACTAGTACCACGATTCTGGACGATTGCAAGTGGCGTACTCTTTTTCGTGTTTTCTGGTGTTTTGAGGGGCCACGTCGTCTTTGAAGGTATTTATTTCTTCTTCTGTATATGTGACAATCCACCCCCGCACTTCCTCCGTTGTCGCTTCTCCGTTTTGTTTGGTTAAACTTTGGCTTGCCGTTCACAGGATTTTCTTGTTTTCTTGTTGTCGCGAGCGAAAGAGGTTTTTTATGCCTCTTCGAGAATTTGTAGTTCAGTTCAAAACAAGGAAGAACCTCCGGCTCACTTTAAAAAACGCTTTTGTTTGTTTTTAACTCTTCAAAAGGTGACAATGATTTTGAAAACATTTTAAAATGACCTTGTAGAAAACCTTTTTTGCAGTTGTTGTGTTAGAATATCGCTTAGCTTCGTTTTCAACTCGTAATTCCACACTAAATACCTCGCTTCGTTAACCAATCAGAATGCGAGATTTTACTCAATTATGCGATTCTCACAGTAAATCGCGAAGCTTAAAATACTACTTCTGATGCAAAAGGGTGACAATTTACTGTAGGTAAGGTAACAAAACGTTTATTTAGCGTTGATCCACGCACATATTTAGAGATATATCGCTACAGATGAAGCAAACGGTATATCCAGACACAAATAGATTGTGTGGGAGCCCTGCGGTTCCCTATGAAAGCTTCAGCTTGGGGCAGTTGACCAGGCCCGAGCTTGGGGTACCCGTGCAGACCAGTCACCCTAGCAACGCGTCCTATGAAAGGGCCTGGGCGTGAGGATCACTTTTAACGCTTTTTTTAACGCTAACACGGATTAAAGGGCCGACGATTGGTTTGGCTAACCGTTTATTTTAACGTGAAATAGCCTCAAAGTGCTGTGTGTGGAACAAGATAGATGCATCTCTACGAACAAGGTAAGAAGGACAAAGTTTAATTTTAATTTGCGCGAAAAGATAAGGGGTTTGTAGCAACTTTAAAATGTACACCTCGGTGACTGCCCACAATGCAGCTGACCGAACGAAACCGAACCCAAACTCAAACGAAAAAAACAAAAATCAATCGAACTCAATTGACAAAGCATCCTCTGGACAGTGGAACTCTTGTTTTCTTGAGGAACGCTTTTATATTTATTAGGCTAATATATTATTGCTCACAGTTCGGAGCAACACGATTAAAGAAAACATATTAAGCTCCACCTGGTTCTCTTGCTCATCCAAAATTTGGCATGTAGAATTGTTTTAGGTTTAAACAAACACGACCACGTCACTGACAGCTTGAAATCTCTGTAGTGACTTAGCGTGAATGACTTTTTAGACTGCTTTTAAATGATCTAGTAATGGTTCATAAATGTATTCACGACCACATACCCAGCTCATCACGACATGTACAGAAACACTACACGCACTGGTGAATCACAGGGTCCAGAGGAGTTTCATGCGAATAAATTAAATGAATTACTCATTTAAAGACTCACCTTGAAAAATGTCTATACCAGTGTCGCTTAGCACGATTAATTAGCCCAATGGCATCTTTATAAATCTACTGTAAACGATGATCGACTTTTGAAAATCGATGACCGCAAACCATATCCTCGCCGGCGCACGGCAAGTCGCCCGAAGGGCGACCGAGGCACGAAGTGCCGAGTAAAAGAAAGGACAAGGGAGGAAACTTGTACCACGTGTCTTCGTTCGCTGTGAACCGCGTCACTCGGTGACGGAAGTGAATGAGACCGGAAACGCAAAAGCAACAGACTGATGCTAATTCGAGAATCAAAACATCAGCTGCGGAGAGAGTTTTTAAGATCTCAGAGATCTATGCGAAGGCAACAGAGTTTTAATTGAAGTGAAGATCTTTCAAGACTGGACATTGTAGGTTTCAACAGTCTTCGATGTGTTAAGCAGGTTTTGTTTGTGCGAAGGCTTCCCAGTAGTCGCAAAACGCACAGCCAAAGACGCAAGAGGTAATATAGTTGGACCACCGAAGAATGGCACAGTCGTGATGATATTACAGTTGCCTTGTACGCCCGCTCTACTCAGTGTCACTTTTTATTGCAAGAGTACACACGACCCGTAAATCACTATCCGTAATAATTTAACATTCCCCAATCAAAACTAACAAGCTGGTCCCAGCGTGATACAGCATTGAAGAAAAACATTACATTCACGGACTAAAGAAAATCGCTTAGTTATTCAGATCCAGATGGCACTTTGGGGAAAACTGGAACCCTTGTTCAGCCGTAATAAAAAGCTTTACGCTTCAAAAGAGGTCAAAGAAAATGCGCTTGCATCAGCGGGCAAATCCTGCCGACCAGAAACAATAACCACAGTAAATCGATATGTGTTATACCTCTCAGTGTGAAACATGCGGCTAAAATCCCCGCTAAAATCACATTTGCTGTAGAACCTTCCACAGCATAATCTACCCAGCAGAGGAAAAAAACTTTATTGGAACGAGCAGCATTTTGGCATGAGGCAAAAATCGTGTAGGCTTCCCTTTTATTGCTCCGATCTTGAACACATTTACTTTACTACGTCATTTCCGTCACCATGTGTTGCGGTGCACACCGAACGAAAGCGCTCTCTAGAAGCCGTAAATTTCGGTCGCCGAAAATGAATTTGAACGCTTTCTTATGCCGTTTTCCTACAGTATTTGGCAAATGCATAAGAATTCTAGGTCAGGTTAGTAAAATCAGGCGATTTCATTCAATTCCATTTGAGTTTCAGGGATTCGAAAATCGGCCCCAAATTTGTTTCCTTCCTTTCCGTATTTTATACTGCAATCCCATCTTGCGAGCCCTCAGTCTCTTGGTTTGCGGTCTATAGAATGTGTAACGACACTGTAACGCGATCAGGAGGGAGTCATAAACTCGTCAGCGCGGCTGTCCGATGTGTCTGGCCATCGTGACGTCACGCAAAGTGAAGCGTGCGTCGAGAAGATTTTCGTAAATGGCGGTGTTTTCGATTTGTGTGTTGTCATCTTCAAAACGTTTTTTGCCATTTGGAAAGCGCCAAGATGAGTTTCATTTGATCGAGGAGGTTCTTCATCTTATTTTCCAACTGCAGAGGTACGTGGATTTTCATAATTGCTTCAAAATCTCGCAAAAAAACTTTTTGAACGTTTGTAGCGAATCTTCTCCCCTCGCATTTTGTGTATGGGCGAAACCTCATGTCGCATGCAAATTTTGCCGATATTTCTTGATGGGAAGCATGGGACATCTTGTAACTTGATCCTAGAATAGTTCTTGTGCAACAAAATGTGTATAGCGTGTAGTTAATATCGATGAACGCCTCATAAAAATGATCAGTCGATCTATTTTTCGTGCTCGATACCAAACATCAGTGCGTGTAGAACAACTTGAAGTATATTTATCTTACTAATTCAGTACCGGCAGTCAAAATTGCTTTTCATTTATAGCTTTCAGCAAACTTTAAAGCAGCTTAGGTTTCTTTGCAGAGGGTATGTCGTCTGTCATTCCGATTTTGCGTTTCGAAGAAGTGGTGTTGGGGCTTTGTTGTGTTGTGGGACTTTTACTAGTAGTCAAGGAACCGAGTATACATTGTTCATTTTCAAGGAGTTTGGCTCTCAGCTCCTGGTTTGAAGAACTTGCATTGACAGCTATAGAGCGAAAATGTCAATGTAATTCTGCTTTACTTGCTTGGCATTAGGAGTGATGTTACTTTGGAAGGCCACGGACATGATGTTCTTTAATGATGCTGAGTGATCTTTCGAGCATGATGTCGTCATGTTAACTTGAGACCTTTCGAACACTAACATGTGCATGTATGATGCCGTTTTTCTTGGGGGATGTTTTCCAACGTATTCAGCTTTGCCATTGTTCCACATATCATTGTACAAGAACCATCCCTCTCTGTACCTTTTTTCACTAACAAATACTTCGCACCAGAAATGAAAGTTGTGGTGGTATATAATTGCTGCCAGGTCATATTTATCTTTCTTGACCCTTAGGTGGAGCTTACTTGACAGTCCTGGCTGGATGGGCCTGTTTTCGTCCTTATCAAGCTCAAACACTAGAAGAAAGGGATTATTAACCACGGAAGACGAGTGGGAAAGTTGACCTCCACAAACAGAGCCATCATCATTTGATCTTAAACAAATACCTCTTTGTGAGCAGAGAATATCCTGCTGAACGAGTACCTTTTCTGCAACCTGCACTGGATCATATGTAGAATCTGTTATATCCATTATGTTTATATTAGTGTGGTGTATGAAGTATGAACTGTGAGTGTTTACTATGTTACGGCAATGGTTACACTTTCTGCATTTGATGTTGACTGAATCTGTGATGAAGAGAGCATTCTTTTCTGGTTGTGACATGTTTGAACACAGAGCAGTAAAGACGTTGGAAATTCCCGCCATTTGGCCCAGTGGAAAAGTCGTCCTTCCATTAGAAGTGTGATGGTGTAAATAGGTCCAGAGAACCATTTTACTTCTATGAAAACTTCCTTGTCCACGGAGGACAATAGATTCGAGAAGTGTATCCATAGCTGGAGTGGTATGATCAAAGTGTGTTCTTTCCGGTGTTATTTGTCGTATGAAAGGATGATAAATGGATTCTAGAAAAGTGTCCAAATAACAGGAATTTGCCATTTGACCAGAGCCATATGTGTATGATTGGAAGATACTGGAAGATGGTGAAGAGGGATTTGAATGTAACTTTTTTTGGCAAGGATTAACTCTGCAGAGGACTTGCAGTTTCCTGCAGCCTTGGCACTTTCGTGTGGGCGTCCCCTGAGCGTACTTCCAAAACATATTAAAATCTTTGTGTTCCATGGCATTTTCACTTCTGCAGGATGTTAGTGTTGTCAAGACCGTTGACTGGTTGCAAATCTTCTGAGCCTGTGCTTTGGGATGGTCAAGGTGTGTGTTCCAAGTGGGTATTTTTCCAGCCTGTGCTTCACTCCAAAACCCTTTCAGTTGAATAAGAAGATCTTTTATGAACTGCTCGTCCCTTTTTACCAGAAAAATCACTGTTTTTCTTGGTGTCCAACAAACAAAGTGACATTTTTGTGTGTTAGTAGAGTACATTAATTTTCGAGTTGACATTGGGGAACATACAACACTGGGACTTTTCTATAGGGAAAAGGATTTCCTCCCATATAAGGACACTTAATTTCCACAACCGTATCACTGTCGACTATGCCGTCTGGAGAGACACCAAGCCAAGCAGCCCCATTTCGATCCCTTGTTACTCACAGTCCTGTCTTTTCAAATTTTTTACATGGCATTCCATTGATGTAAGTAGCAACTGCATGATCTTCGCACATTGATCCCCATTTCATGGCCTCATTTATTGGCATTGTTTCAGTTTCGTTTGTGGAATCATTGGCAGGAATCAGTTGTTTTGCATAAAGAACCATTTCTTCTCTTCCTCTCCAACCTAGAAGAAGGATAATAATTTTATGTTATCAAAAGTTATTTCTAAAACCAGGATATTTTTTAGTCCAAACGCCTATGCTATACTGTTATTCATGATGTGATTTATCACTAGCATATGTTATATACCTGATTAAAAAAAACTTTGTCACTAAGATGTGTAAACCATGAATGATTAAGCTTTTATGGGTATACTTTCATTAGCAAAGCAAATTCAAAGTTATTTTGACAGAAGTTTACATTGTCACGAGATTCTTGTGCAGATTCAGATTCTTAGAGCATCTTGTTTAAGGCATGCCTCTGTCTTTTTTGTTTTCCAAAAAAGCTTTTGGGTCCCATCGTCTGATTTTCAAGTGTGCATGAGTGATATGGTTATGCTCTTTTACTGTAGACAGCCGTGAAAACTGGAAACTGTTTGACATTTATTGGAATGCATTGTCGAAAAAAGCTTCGATAATGTAAACATTTCTCAAAGAAACTTTAAATTTGCAATGCTAAGGCTATCCGTAAATACGTCAGGTCACATAGTTCAAGGTTTATACTGTACTTTTCAAGCGACACCTTTTTTTTCATTCAGCTGTATTTTAAGGTTATTTACCTAATGCAACTGCAGCTTTGCTTCCATTCACTTTTCCTTTCCTTGCTTTTTTTCCATTCCTCCGTCCCTTGTTCAAACAATCGCTCATCATTCACTTTGTTAGTACCTTTGGCTTGAACTGGCACTAATGTAGGGTTGTCTCGCAATGTTACCTCATGTAAACGAAGCAGTTGTATGGTCAGAGGGTCACTGATGTCTCCCTGTAAAGAAAGGTTATTGAACTTAAGCCCTTATCAGAAAGTGTAAAAACTCTACTTTCTCAAGGAAATGGCTTTTTTACTTAAAGGCACAGATACAAGCACTTTTATAATATATCATGTAAAACAATGACGCATTTATAGATATATTTTTACCTTGCTTTTAGAGTTCTTTGATGTACACTTTGGTGTAGATATGGCAGCTTGAGATGATGTGTTTTTGCAATCTTTTTTCAAGTGGCCGGCCTGACCACAAGCATAGCACTGCTGCTTTGCCAACCAAGCGGGATCATGTGGAATGTTTTTCATACATTGCGCTGCCCAATGACCAAGCTCGCCACATTTGAAGCATTGATCAGTTGACTTTACAATTTTTGCCCTCTCTTTAACTTGCTCTTTTTTTTCAAACTGGCGTAGCATTTGACGAATTGCTGATGATTGCTTGATCATTACTGGGATTCAGACCGTCAACTGCAAGAAATGTCACACACCTCCTCTTGCAAATTTTTTTACTAAACAATTTAAAAATTTCTCCTCCTTGATATTTAGCATCAGGATCTTGATAAACATTAGTAAACAGTTCCTCCCATGCTGCTATTAATTCTTTGTCTTGTGGTACAAAATTTAAGGCATCTGTTAGAATGTTGTTGTGCCATTGTTGTGGAATGAAGTACTGTTGCCTCAATTTAAAATTCATTCTCTTCAGGAATTTAAGTAGGTACTGCTTATTTGCTTTCTCTTGAAGACAACTGACAAATTTTGACCGTGTGTCCAATAATAGCACTGGGGGATTTAACAGCTATATGATCAAGGACTTGTCTAGCTTGTCTATACAGCTGTTCCTCATCTTTTTTGGTGTGAAAAGTTTCAATTTCTGTCTCATTGACTTCAAGACTTTTGATAACAGTAGAGTCAGATTTGGGGATGTCATGGTCTTTTGACATTTTTCCAATATTATTCTTTTTTCTTTTCAGAGGTACAGAAACAAAGTTAGGAGTTGCTAGAGTGGCATAGGACCCGATGTAAGCTTGATCATATTCTTTCTTTTCAGCTTGTATGAGAAGGCTTGTAGTAATACTTGAATTTCCTTCCATATATTGTTGCACTGTTGGTTCCCCACCAGCAATTCTACTTCTTTGAAGACTGAAGTAATTCTCTACGTCATCTTGATTAGTTGTACGAGGAACTATGATGGTATCACTGTGATTTATTTGGAGGTAAGTTACAAGACCTATAAATCCTCTGATGGAACGGGTGAGGTCATTGTACGTGTGCTTGGAGATAAATTTTCTCCAGTGTTCTCTTAAAGCACCTTTGTGATCGTTTTCTTCTTCAAGCAGCTCTGTATACCATCGTTTGAAGAACACAAGTACACTAATTGAGTTTGCGTGTCATGTCATCATCAATTGAAATACTGTTCAAGATTTTAAAATATTCAGCAGCTTTTCTGATGTAGGTTCTTTTCATGAGTGTAGTGGGATGTCCATACTTGCTGTTATACAGTATGTCGTCTGCAACTTCCCTAGAGCATGTTTCCACAGCACGCTTAACTGACATCTTCGTCCGAGAGCTGAGAAATAGATGTTTTGATGAGAGCTTTGTTTGGCCCCTCTGGGCCACATCAGCCAAGTGATCAAAAGAAATGTCATGGTGTAAGAAGAGGTTTCCCTACTTTGAGCAATTTGTGCTCTAGTAACTGTGCGTTTTGTGTCTTAGCGTTTCTGTATAGCCGTTTCTATTTACATGTTTAGAATCTATTTTGATATACTTAGATTTATCTCCCTACAGCTTAGTCTTGTACTCCTTCAGCTTGCGTTAAGGCTGATTACTAATGTTTATTATTTAATTTACATTAAGTACACTTTCAATTCGAAATTGCTCACATTCGAAAAGTTTTTCAATATCTTCCTCAACGAAACCGATAGAATATTCTATGCTGCTAATTCACAGCTGCTCTGTTTAGACTCTCCTTTTGTTCTTTAAACGTAAGAGGTTTAAATCAAGCTAGAAAGAGACGGCGGGTGTTTAGATGGCTCCACAATCAAAAATTCGACGTTGTTTATTTACAAGAAACTTACTCTTCCAAAAGTGTCGAAGAAATATGGAAAGCAGAATGGGGAGGGAAAATTTATTACAGTCATGGAACAACACATTCAAAAGGTGTGATGATATTATTTAAACCGAGTCTGGATTTCGAAACAGAAAGCATCTTCGCTGATAAGAATGGACGATACTTGCTATTAAAAGCCAACGTGCTAGAATCTTCCTTCTTGTTTAGCAACATTTACGCGCCAAATGACTCTACCGCCCAGATAGCTTTCTTTTGCAATCTTGATAACATTCTCCTACCATTTGCAGATGCACAAATCATCTTGGGAGGTGACATGAATTGCCCATTAACACCTACAGATAAAATGGGTGGTGCTACTGTTCAGAAAAAACAAAAAGTCATTGATGAGATTGAAGGCTTAACCCAGCGTTTTAAACTTCATGACATTTGGAGAAATCAACATACCAACAAAACACAATTTACATGGCGTAACAATTCCTTGAAAGTGCAATGCCGCTTAGATTATTGGCTTGTGTCGAAAGAATTGTTGATGTCTGTCATTGATACTAACATCACCAACCCCACAATATCTGATCATAGCGCTATCACTTTCACTCTTCAATCGAAAGAATACGCTAAACGTGGACCTGGGTTTTGGAAAATTAATAACGCTTTGCTGAAAGGCATAAATTTCATTGACGAGCTCGTAAGCAAAATACCCGAATACAAAAGCAAACACTGTTACCTTACTAATGAAGGCCTGTACTGGGACATGCTCAAGATGGAGATTAGAGGTTTCTGTGTACAATACTCAAAAAGGAAAAACAGAATAAAAAGAAATAAGGAACGAGACCTTCAGAAAGAAATTGATCACCTAATGGCCTTGCTGCAATCCAACAGATCGAAAGAAAATATCACTAAACTCTACCAATTAAGAGCTCAACTCAATCAGATTGCTGAATATAAAGTTACCGAGGGTGCAATGATTAGAAGTAGGATACGCTGGCACGAAAAAGGAGAAAAGAATACTAAATACTTCTTAAATCTTGAGAAAAGGAGGTTTGCAAAAACTCATATAACTAGGCTTAAAACAAGTACTGGCTCGGAAACTTCTTGCGAAAAAGAGATTTTGGAAATGCAGAGAGCATTTTATGAAAATTTATATACAAGCGCTCCCTGTGATATTATTGCACGCGATGCTTTCCTGGGAGACCCTAACCTCGTCAAACTCGACGAAGACGAGCTAAATGAACTTGAAGAGCCTTTGTCGAAAACCGAGTGTTTCACTGTTCTTAAACAGTGTGCTAAAAACAAATGTCCGGGCAGCGACGGTCTCTCAGTTGAGTTCTATTTGCACTTCTGGCATCTACTTGGTGATGAGATGGTCCAAAGCTTTAACTATGCTCATAAAGTAGAACAACTCAACATAACACAAAGACAAGGTATGATAAAGGTCATACCGAAAAAAAAAGAAGAACAGGTTGTATTTGGAACATTGGAGACCGCTAACGTTACTTAACGTCGACTATAAAATAGCAACCAAATCTATAGCCCATAGAATCGCTAAAGTCCTCCCCAAATTAATAAACGACGACCAAACTGGCTATGTCAAGGGCCGCTATATAGGACAGAACATTAGACTCATTAACGATATCATGAAGATTACTGAGCTAGAAAACATTCCCGGCATGGCGATTTTTGTGGACTTTAAAAAAGCTTTTGACACCGGCCGTCGACTGGAACTTTCTTTTTAAGACCTTGAGGCATTAAATTTCGGCCCTCAGTTACTACAGTGGATCCGAACCTTTTACACTGACTGTTCTAGCTGTGTAGTAAATAATGGTTACGCCTCTGTCTTCTTTAAACTACAAAGAGGTGTTCGCCAAGGGTGCCCTCTTTCCGGCTCCCTATTTGTGCTGTGCGCTGAAATTCTTGCTAATGCAATAAGGTCTAATGCAAATATTCAAGGAATCAACATATATGGAAAGGAATTCAAAATTTCTGTCACGCAGATGATACCACTGTTTTTGTCTCTGATATAACATCTGCCCAAAACCTCTTCCAACTGCTCCACGCTTTTCAAAAATGCTCTGGTCTTGAAGTAAACAGAAGCAAGACAGAGGGCTTGTGGCTAGGTGCGAACAAAAACAACCCGGAAGAACCTCTTGATATTGCATGGCCAAAAGATCCTGTATTTGCACTTGGTATTCACTTCTCTTATGATGACGGCTGCTTTCAAAAGGAACTTTGAACAGAAACTGTCCTCGATGGCTTCCTTGCTAAACTTGTGGTACCCTAGGAACTTAACTTTACATGGTCGAATTGTCATTTTAAAAGCATTAGCCCTCTCCAAACTTATTTATAACACTGCTGTCCTCACTGTCACCCCCACATTTATTCAAAAAGTTAATAAAGCTATTACTCAATTCGTCTGGCAAAAGAAAAAACCAAAAATAAAACAAACTACCCTGATTGGCCCTAAAGAAAAAGGTGGTCTCTCATTGCCTGATTTTGACATAATTAACAATGCTCTCAAAGCAACTTGGATCAGAAGACTTGACAGCTGTCATCCCACCGCGAGTTGGACTCACATTCCTGTTTCCCTGCTAGAGCGAGTTGGTGGTCTCTTTCTCCTTAAATGTAACTTTGAACTTAAACATCTTAACTTCCACATTCCATTTATCTTTTACGAGAAAGCTTTGTTGGCCTGGCAATCCATAAATTCGTTCACTCCCTCCTCAAAAGAAGAAATACTGAATGAAATCTTATGGAACAACCGCTTTATTAGGATCAACAATTATTCAGTATACTATAAAGCATGGCATGTAGCGGGTGTTGAAAAAATTGGAGATCTCTTCAACGGCAATACCTTTCTATCTCACCAAGACTTCTGCTCCTTTTTTGGTCTTAAAACTAATTTTCTTACCTGCTACGGTTTATGCAAAGCAATTCCTCCTAACTGGATTAAAATAATGAAAGGTAAATTACAACCGCCTTGAATAAATCCATAAGTATGGATAGAATTCCGTTGAGAAGCTTTCTTCTAAACTTGCTACCAACTTTTTGTTGAAAGAAAATTTGTTCCTGCCACAAAAAAAAAAAAAGACTGAGAAAAGCTAGTTTAAACGAACAGCAAATTTCTCAAATTTACAAGATGCCTTTCAGTGCTACGAAAGACATACAACTCTCAATGTTTCAGTTCAAGATCTTACACCACATCTTACCCACCAACGCTACATTATATAAATTCGGAATTAAGGAACATGACCGCTGTCATTTATGCGCTGAAAAGCAAACAATCACACACCTATTTGTGACTTGCCCCAATGCTCAGCTGTTTTGGACTCATTTTTCAGTTTGGTGGCGCGAAAAAAACAACATTGAGATCTCGCTTTCTGAAGCACAAACACTTTATGGCATTACAGACACCGTGCCTCAGTGTCTTGGTTTAAACCTCTGCTTGATAATTGCAAAATACTATATTTACACCGCGTCTAAAAATGAGGAAGATTATTTTTTCGACGCTTTTTTGTCTATCCTTAAAAATAAAATACAAATTGAAACTAGCAAAGCAAAGGTGCAAGTCAAGCTGTAAAAATAATTTTCTTGATTCTGGCTAATTTCCCTTGTTTTTTGGCTTTTTTTTGTTTTGTTTGTTTGTTTGTTATTTATTTATTTATCTATTTTTTTGTCGTTTTTTACGTATTTACTCTTCCTTAATAGATAGTAAGTTAGTAATTAGTTGTATTAGAATTCTTTTTTCATTATTTTGTAACAGTCTCCAACTCATTGGCTCCTGTTTTGTAAGCATTATCTTGTAAGTTTATATTATGTAAGTATGTAGAATTTAACTTAGCAAGTTATATGTAAGTGGGTATTAAAGCTTTATGTAAGTAAGTAAGTACTATGTAAGTAAGTCAGCATTATGTTTGTAAAAACAATAAAAAAAAAAAAAAAAAAAAAAAAAAAAATGTCATAATTGCTGTACTTGAGATTGCGTTTTTGAGATATTAGAAAGTTGTTATTGAAAGGATTTTCTGTCATCCAATTTGTGGAGCCATACTGATTAAAGAATGCTGAGCTGTGAGTTGCGCCATCACATACACCATAGAGCGCTTGAACTTTCTTATCGTTGTTTCTACCAAACTTTAACTCACTTAGAATACTAATAGTACTCCATACACAATTTCCAAGTGTTTTTGCATTTAATTTGTTTACTGGAAAGCTGGCAACTGGCCATGCAAAGTCCCCTTCTATAGAAGACCAGAAGAACTGGAGGATTATTTTGGTGACTGGTCTGCTGGAGGTTTCTGTCAATTCTTCATCTGTTTCATTGCATGTGGAGGCTTCATCAGTCAAGGAATCTTCACAATCACTGCTTTGAAATATTTGGTATCCATTAGTTTTTTTGGGCTCTTTTTCATCCTTGTTGATCACTTCTAAAATATTTTCAGGGATCTCTAAGTCCTCAAAACCAACAAGTTGGTTGGTTCTAGCACATACTTTAATACCCTTTTTGATGTAAATCTCGTCCCAGTGGATGCCACCTATTCCCTTGCAGTTATGCCTTGTGAGTTCTTGTGAGAACAGTTTTAAGTTATCTGGTGAAACAACTCTGTAAGATTTTTGAGATTGCCTGTAGCTATTAACTGTGATGAGAGATGGAATTGGTAAGATTTCTCTTACCAAGTTATAGCCTCCCTGGCCACACTTTCTTGCTAGTTCTGCGCACCACTTCAAGACAACTGGATGGAAGCGCATTCCTTTCGGTTGCATTTTCTTCCCCAGCTTTGTAGGGTCTTTGCATTCAGCTTCTGCTTTTATTAGTGAGGTAAGAGTATCACATAACAATGCATATAGGACGGAATTTTCTTGAAGCAAGTTTTGTGAAAAGGCAAGGTCAATCAACGAGCCCAGTTTTCCAGATGTTAAGAACACATTTTCAGGCATTTTTATCAGGTTTTCTCTTTTGCTTTCATGTTCATACTGCTTCAAAAGCAAGCTTTGAGACTTTTTTAATTTATGAATGTATTCACCCATTCGCCTACATCGTTGAAGAAGATCCTCTGGTTGTAAGGATGTCATGGGTGTTTTTGAATTTTGGTCTGTTCTTCCATCATTTAAATTGGGTTTCACAAATACACGAGGTAGTTTCCGAATACATTTCCGCAGAAGCTGACTACAGGGTTCACATCTAAATTGCCGTGCACTACCATCCCCACCTGACTTGGGCAAGATGACATGACAGTTGCTGCCATTCTGTAGTGTGCTTCGCACTGTCTCACAGATCACTTCTGTTGCTTGTCTAGGGTCTTGAAGGGTGTGGGAGTTGTCTATGTGATACTTGGTCCTGTTCCCTTTGAATACATTGTTCAAGTTATAGTGCTTACAAGCAGTTACCCAGTGTTGTTCGAAAATACCACAACAAATATGTGAGTCCTGTAGTTCTTTAAAGGCAACAAGAATTTCCTTTGTCAAAGATTGCATTGTCATCTTGTGATGTGGTTTTAGAAGGTATCAACTTCAACTTCAACTTCAACTTTATTTCATAAGACTATTAGTTACAATAGACTGGCCCGCAAAATAGCAATTGCTAATCTAGGCGGACCAGTTAAAAGAAAAAAAAATTGAAAGGAAAAGAAAGGAAAGGAAAAGGAAAGACAGTGTTATCAGTGTTATCAGTGACAGTGTTATCAATCACATCGTATTTTGCAATTACTGAGTCTTTGTGGAAATTGACAATTAATTTTTTGTTGTTTTTTACTTTCCCACTTAGAAGGTCATTTTTAGATATCATGAGCGAGGAATTTTTGACCATTCCAACAAAGACTTCAACTTCACTGTTTGTTTGTTCAATGATTTCTTCAAATACTTCTTTCAGTTGAAACTGACGGGCCTTTAACTCTGTTTTAGTGTTGCTTTCTTTATCAGCAAAAAGTAATTTCCTTTTTGGCAGTTCCATGGTACAAATGTCATTTTTGTTTGGACCTGTCTTATTTGATGACTCCTGGGTTTCCATTTTTTCCAAAAGAGTATGGGGGCTTTGTTTAGTCTTTTCATATTTCTTTTGCATTTTTGCCATTTCCAGGAATGGGTCCCTACATTCTACACAGACATAGTTTGTTATCTTTGCTGGTGATATTGCTGAACATTGATGATAGAAACCCTCATTCTCTTCAGTGCTTGCTTGCCTTGTACTTTCCAAAAAAAAACTGCATGACACAGAAGAACATATGAAGACCTCACCATTCTGTACTTGGAGTATGTGTTTATGACATGGCAAGGATCTTGTCGCTCTTACTTTTTTGTTGCATGTCATACATATAAATTCTGTGATACATGTCACCGTATTTTCCTTCTGAGAAGAATGATGCCGGCGGTGATCTTTATTGTAATGGACATTGCATATCTTCAGTTGTGCAACCTCACTGTCACTTAAGTTGCCAAAAATGCCCTTTATCTCATAAAGTCCTTTCAGGGTCTGTATTGCTTTTGATGCATCAGTACACCAATTGCTGCATCCTTCCAAAGCACACTGTAAAGTTTCTAGGGTGAAAGTTTAAAGGAAATTGGTCATAACAACAGGCCGCCAAGCACTACTGAAAATAACAGCTATAGAGACCAATAAGTGAAATTAATTTTTAAAAAATTAAAGAGTAATACCAACCTCCTCCCTTTCCGCCTACAGGATGCATTCTTAGAGTTGGCTCAGAGATATCGTCATTTACACAAAGATAAAGAAATGGAGAGTCAACTGGCAGGCACCGCTCCTTTATCCTCTGTTTCTCTGCCTCCACATCTTCATCCAAGACATCTTCAATGGTCACTGCGTTAACATCATGAATATCATTAGGTTTTACAGCGTATATCTGGATGTTACTTTCCAACAAGGGATTACATAGGTAATACAGGACCAGTTAAACCACAAGTATTAGAAGGAAGACATTCTTGTTGAGATGGGTTTTGATTAGTCCATTTTCGTTGCAATAATCATTGTATTCTGGCATGAAAGAAGATAGTGGCTGATCCTTATGTTTCAAGTTTTGCAAAGCCAGAATTTGCTGAATGTAAGCTACACCAGTTCAAGATATCTTTTTACCTTTTGATGATGTTATCTTTTCCTTTTCATTTGTGGTCTTGGGACATGTTGGTGCAAAAAGGTACTGGATGTCATGAATAGGGTCTTCATTGTCCTGCAAAGACTTTTCAGAAATTTTGCAAATATTTTAGTTATAGTTTTATTGTTCTAACGCAAATGAGGCTGTCACTAAGATTTCAAGTAGCTAGGTGTATGCAATTAGAACATATTGTTGAACAAATAGGAATTAATTTTGGTTTTGTTTTTTGTCTTGTTTTGTATGAATGTAGGCAGGGGTCATGCTCATAGTAACCCCACATTCCTTAGTGACAGCCCTATGCATAGTTTCATGTTCATTTTGTAGCATTTTCTCCCATACATATACATGTCTGATAAAGAGCTAAAATTAGTTCGTTTCTTGACTCAAGAAGTATATATATAGTTACACTGTCATTGAATTGTCTTCAAAAAATATAGTTCAGTATGGTTTCCTGATATCCATGTGAACATAATAATATATAATTGCCGCTATACCTGGTATATTTCATTATTGATTGATTATTGTTATTAATTTTTTTCACTTTTTTTGGTACCTTTGATTGCTTCCTATAGACAAGTGGTTCTTGTTTGTATAACCTCTTGATATTGTAAATCACTTTTTGACCTTTCAATGTAAGACTTTTCTCTGTTTTGTTTAATTTGAGGATCTTTTTTCTTTTTCTCTCCAACACGTTTTTTCTCTGTAATGAACCAAAAAAAAAGAGTATTTATTGCTCCATTCAACTTGTAACCATGTGGATGCAAAATGTATCACTGGATAATGGTCTAACATTTTGCCTTTCAACCCACTGACCTTAACATCATTAGTATCTGGAGGGTTGAATTTTCTCAGGTCGTTGACTTGTCTAACTGTTTTTCTCCTGACAAATTTTCTTTGTTTACAAATATTGTAATGCACTATTGCCTAAAAAATTAAACGGCGTATCAGTAATGTAATTTTTGTGAGCTTTATAGGTAGCTACTGTGTTTTTTAATGGGTTCCAGAAGTTTCAAGGCATAATAAATTATAATAATTCATTGAAACAGTTCCTCTTAGTGCTCATCGTTGAAGTAAGGAGGTGAAGTGTCCTTATCAGTACGTTTTATTATTCATTTTTTCAATGAACGCTTGCACTTATATCGTAGTCTGAGACAAAAAAATTCGTGAAGTGCCTTATTTCAATATGCGGACCCCCGTGGAAACAGGAGTTGCTGACTATCACGCGTCAAATTATTTTTTTACTTTGCCGTGGAAGAGTTAAAGAAAAATCTCTTTTGTAATGGTTATTCGTACCTTTTCTAATTTAAACATTCTTAAGACGATCCCTCCCTAAGTAAGAGTATAAATCGTCGAATAAAAGCTCTGAATATCACTTGATATTTTAGATATATTTTTATTTTATACAGTATATATATAAAAAAAATGTCGAAAATTACTCACCAAACTGATGTACCGATCTTGAAGCTCATTCCCAGGTATGTAAGTTCTTTGCTCTTCTTTCTATGAAGCCAATTTATGTATAAGGGATTGGTTTATTTTACTCAGTATTAAAAGGTAGCTTGCGTCAAAAGTGGCGTCAGTCCATTTGGTTAATTACGCATCGCTCCTTTTTTTCTTTTTTACAATTTTTAGGTGTTTAAAGAGCCATCAAACGGCTTTCATCTGCAATACATTACCGATTCCTGTTGTTTTATTCCCACTGACTCCAATTTTTTTTCGTAGATATCTTTTTTGGTTTAATTAGGTGATGTTTCCCTTCTCTTTTTCTCGGCCGTCACGCAATGCACCTCCAGAAAGCAGTGTTTAAAGCCACTGATCATTTTTAAGAAATGGTTACAAGAAAGAATTTTTGTAAAACTGGAAAGAGTTTATACCCCCAAGTGTTATGTTTTTGTCGCTAAGTGAGATATTTCAGGGATCGTGAGATATGGGTCGTGAAAGGTGAACTTCATCTTGATTTGTGTCGATCGACCGAAGCGACCATGTACTCGTTTCAGTCCTACCACCGATTGGTTTTTTGATTTTGGGGACAAAAAGCTATCGAGAATACTTGTTAATAAGGAGACCGGGACATACCTTTCGATTTGTCATTGCTTCACTCTGTTGATTTACGAGAAATTAATCTGTAAGTAATGGGGAGGTAGCCATTTGTTTACCTTTCTTTAAGGTCATTCCCCTGAAATAGAACTTAACATAGATTTTTTCTCAAATTTTGTCTATTAACTATTCATCATACTGGGACTTCAAAATCAAAATAAAAAAGGGGGGTGCCGGTATTCGTTTACGAGCTGCGATGGCTCAAACATACCCCCTTTGAGGCAATTTTCGAAACTTCCGGTTTGCTGCCTTGCACCATGGACTATATCAATAATTAGGCCTGATAACACTCAGAATACTATTGATTGTGCGAAATAAGGTTATACACATTTAGAGTTGGACAAGAGTAACACTTTCAAAAGGCTTTTGGTACGAAAACGCATACGTCGAGGAAGCACTTCCCTTAAGTTTGTTACCATGGTTACCATAATTTCATTGAAAAAATGGGTTTTGGCTTTATACTTTCCTTTATATCTTTTTTTCTGAACATAGGAAATTGTCCATTCTTTTTGTGTAGGCAGCCTATTGGTTGTAAAGTCAAACAAGCGAAAAAAAAGAGGGGGTGCGGTATTCGCTTGGAAGCTATGCCATCATTTTCTGTTCCCAGGTGGGCAGGCCCATTTCTCTTTCCAGGAAAAAAACATCGTAAATTTAACTGTACTTATTTGTATAGATCTAATTTTTGGTTGGTAAGTGACAGGTTAAAGGGATGCTTTATCTGGGCTCCCGATTGAGGACAAAATGATGAAAAATGGTTGCCATGGCAACCAAATTAAAGTTACTTTGGTACAATAAAAAGATCAAGCAATACTGAATCTGACACTTTAATATGACACTTTAATTATAATTTCCGAGAAATTTTGCCTGTTACATAATACTTGCATGGCTTTCTTAATGAAATACCGTAAAATTTCGAAAATAAGCCCCTCCATGTATAAGCCCCTCCAAATATAAGTCCCCCAAAATCGTAATGCAAAAACCCTCTGTTAAATCGCCCCTCTGAATATAAGCCCCCCGGGGGGCTTGTACTTGGAATTTGCCCTCGAATACAAAGCAAAACAAAGCAAAAATGTTAAATTTCCTTCCCACCACAAGCTAGCCCAATCGATTTTGAAACGCAAATTTCCCTCCGTACATAAGCCCCTCCGAATATAGGCCCCTCCTAAAATAAGCCCCTCAAAAAGGGCCTTTGAAAAATACAAGCCCCGGGGCTTATTTTCGGAATTTTGGTGACCCGTACAAGAGACCAGGAGATACTGCATGCCGAATTCGGGTGACTTCCGGATACCTTTTGTCTGTGTCAACTAAGAATATACATGTTTATACAGGTAAGTTTAGCTAAGTTTCTCATCACACACTGTATAATTAATTCAGCAAAAGCACAGATAAATATCATAACTTATCGTTTTCTTGTTTACATTGCCATATTAGGGATTTACATTTTACTTGTCTGCAAAGCAACTGGAAATGCTCTCAAGAATTCTCTGGTTAATTGTGATTCTTGCCCTGCCGCTAAATTTCTCTGTGAGGACCTTGGTGGAAGCTGTCCAGTTCATCCGACAGTCATGTGACCTCGGTTCCTTGCCATTTCTCTTAGCTGCCTCACATACTGCACGTCTCTTCGTCCTTGCGCTGTAGCTAGCCCACCACCTTGCCTGAAGATAGCCCAATCATAGACCCTTCTCCTAGGAAAAAAAATAGTCTCGTTTTATTTACTTTAGTCAAAAAGTCAATACCTCTATAAATTAAATGAATGACTCATTGTTGTCGATTAATAATGCTAGTATTTTATTTAGCTCATTCACTGTCTTTGAGGATGATTTGAACAAGCACCCTGCTTCCAATATTCGGTTTTAATAATAATATTATTGTTAAAGGAAATCAAATGTTAAATTGCCTGACTGCTGTTGGATGGAAATTTTATCGTCTAGGGTAAAAATAATAATTAATTTTAACTTCTACAGCTGCTATTTCATTATCTTGTTATTATTGTTATTATAGCAAAAGAAAAAATCGTTGTGAATTTGTTAAATATTGTATTTTAAAATGGATAAACAGACATAAACATATGGATGCCATGCAAGCAAAGCAAAAATGCCTCCATTATTTCTTAGCTTTATGTATATTATAGGACTAACCTGTCAAAGTATTGTGGCCCTTTCCCTTCTTCTGCGTACTCATGTCGTACGATACCCCGATTTTTACAACTTGCTCTGTGTCCACGGTCCTCCGACAATCTTTCTCCAACTGTAATCCTTCTAAACATGAATTCCTTGCAACAGTCTCAATCGCTGCGCCAACGTCTCTTTCTCTGGCCTTCAGAGTGTTTTGTCCCACGGCTGGAAGGTTTATCGACGTGAGCAGTGCGTTTACATACCGGCGTGTAACATTCCTGCACATAAACACAGTACATGTACATTTAAAAGTTAGTTATTACACGGTATTATGATTGTTAAATTATGATGAAGCTCGGAAAAATGTTCGGATAAAAGCTGCTAATCAAATAAATATACCTACCTGTGGCAAGTTTGGTCTTTTTATGAAAAATTGGTCGGCCGCGACCAGCACCGGCGGCACGATGCGATGTTTGTGGTTCACGCATTTACCTCTCCACATTCCGGATCGCTGCACATAATATACAAAAAACTACCCAACCCAGAGATAGTCGCATCAT